AGTCCACTCGGGAAACTGTGAGACATAGTCTAGGACACTGTGCAGAGAGAAGGGGATTCTCTCTGGGGAACTCTGCAGCAGGTAAAGTCCATTCAAAATGAAGGTGGTTTTGTTGTGAGCACTGAGGGCAAGGGAGGGGCATAAGTAAAAGAAAAGTCCCAGGTTTGTGACATGAGCAACTAGGAGACTGGCAGGGCATTTCATGAGCTAAAGAGGAGTGGGGAGAACGCAAGCTGAGTTTCATTTTGGAAGTGTTGAGTGTGAAGTGTCTGGGAAAATCAAATGTGGTGGGGGAGGTAGACAGGTACACCCATAAGAAGAAGCATTCAGTGAGGTAGGAGGAAAAGCAACAGAATGTGTTCTTCAAAATGCACGAGAGGGATGGCTTAATCTTTCCTCCATGCTCACAAAACACTTGAAATTGCAACTCCAGTCACACTTCACTCATGGCATCAGAAGTATTCGTGAGCATATCTACAACTCAGAATAGAGTTCCATGAAGGGAAGTTAGCAAACAGTTGTTCAAAAAACACAGCAGTGATGCTAAAATGAACAAATGAAGAGGCACCTAAGGAAGGGAACAACATTCCAGGTGCAGCAAGCGGAGGGAAGAACAGAAGGAAGAGAAAACTAAGAAAGTGAAAGCAATTATTCCTCTTTATCTCTAGGCTCCAGGATCTCTCAAGCCACGGAGGCAAGCTCTCGTGTATATAGCCAGCCCAACACCGTGCAGAACCTCCTTCCTACATGAAAGCTGCCGGCCCTTAAAGAATTGAATGTCGCCTCTCACAAGAGAGGCAGGTGGACGGCCCCTTGGTTTGGCATCTCATCAAGAAGAGGTGTAACAAACTCATCTCCAGCTGGGGGCTCCCTGACTAAAATTCATATGGAATTAAATAATTCTGGCCACTTCAGGAGAGGCGATTTGTGATAAAGTTTTCCCACCCTCCCCTCTCCCTCTGCAGTTAATTTCCCTGACCTACTTCTCCTTAACTAAGTAATCATCCTCTTCTGTGTTGGAACTCACGGGTTGTCTACACGCTTGTTTATTATTGTTGTTGTTGGTTGCTCTTGCTTTGTTGTCATTTTAATGAGTTCGCATGATGGAAATGGTGGGGAAAGTGAGGTCACGTGCTTGAGAGATGGTGGATCAAGACGGCCATGTACAAGTGGAGATCATTCGTAAATCTGCAATTTTTAAAGGACCGTTTCCAACTCTCGAATATTAAGTTAGCTTTCAAATCAAATCCCCCAATATTATGTTTAGCTCAGGTTAATAGTAGGTTATATCTGGGTCAAAGTCCTTGCTACATTATTTTAATTATTGTTGTAAAGTGTCAAACTGACTTTGGAACAGAAGGAAACCTAGAGAAAAAACACTTTGTAAGATACGACTTTTCTCACCTCCCACTACAAATAAAATGAAAGGGAGCTTCCATTTGTAGGGGACCCAGAAAACAACTTTTTTGCTGCCTCAAGGATTTTCTAAAGATTTTTCTAAGATATAAAGATAACATTTGTTCATCACATGCAACTTGTAACTAGAGAAAAATATACAAAAGAAAATGGAATCACTTATAATCGCATCACATATAGGGAATCACTATGAATCACTGTTCACATTTACCCTCATAAACTTGTTTAAATAAATACCATCTAAGGCATAGTTGTATATTTTGCAACTAAACACTGTACAAGGAGTAACTTCCTGTGTCATTAATATTTCTTATAATCATAACAACTGTTTATTATTTCCATCTAAAGGATGTACCATAATTCATTTAACCTTCATCTGTAGGTTAAGTAAAACAGTAAGGAGTATTTAGTTTATCAATCCTTTGTTTGAATTTCTGATCATTCTACATTCATGGAATGGATTCCTGCTTGAATGGGTACAAACATGTTCAAGTCTCCTGGTGATCAAGCAGTCATTCTCTTAATTACTATAGTATTGCCAAGCAATGACTTGTGACTGGAAACTATACAAGATGCTGGGGATATAGCAGCAAACAGAAAAAGAACATTCCTTGCCTATGAGAAAATTATTTGCTACTAGGGAAGACAGACATTTAAGAGTAAACAAATAGCAATCAAGGAGAAATTAACAGTATTTTTTAAAAAGATTTATTTATTTGTTTTGAGAGAGAGAGAGGAAGCATGAGCAGGGGAGGGGCGGAGGGACAGGGAAGAGAATCTTCAGCAGACTCCCCACTGAGCGGGGAGCCTAAGGCGGGGCTTGATCCCACAACCCTGAGATCATGACCCTGAGATCATGATCCTGAGATCATGAGCAGAGCCCAAGTCAGAGGCTTAATGGACCGAGCCACACAAGCACCCTAAAATTAACAAACAGTAAGTAGACCTAACAGTGGAGGGAAAAGAGAGTGTTGAATTGAATGAAAGCCCCACCAGAAGATGACCTTCAGGCAAATCCCCAGCCATTCCATCATCTGAGGGAAGGGCATTTCAGACAAAGGGAATGGTGAGTACAAAGGTAAAAGCATGAGAAAAGGCATGGCCTATTTTCAGTCTCAGGCTGATTTAGGAGCCAGATCATGCATAGTCTGGTGGGCTAGGAGCTTACTCTTTGAACAATGGGTAGGCAGGAACTGTTTCAGTAGGGAGAGATAGGATCAGAATGTTTTGAAAATTCTCATCCTTGTTGGTATGTAGAGAAAAAAAGGAAGGTAAGAGTCCTAAAGGAGTAACCAGTGAGAAGGCAGCTGCAGTAATCTATGTCCCAGAAAGTGGCTAGGGAGATCAAAAGAGGTAGACCAATTTAGTATATACTTTGGATTATAAAAGTATATGGAGTATATAGCGTATGGAAACACCTGACAGTTAATCATCAAATACCTATAGGAAGTTGAGGAAAATGTGGGAAGCAGGAGGTGATTAGAGATAGTTTCTCAACCGTGTGTTTGAGTAAATTGTTGGATGCTGGATAATATGGTACTATTATATACATGGGAACAGTGGCAGAAAGAAACCTGTTTGACACATATTAAGTATGAGTCGCCTATTAGACACCAAGTTGAGATATTAAAGACACAAATGGTATTGGAATTGGGAGTGGTAGATATGGAGTGGTGGGAAATATGAACTTGAAAATATCAGTAGAAGTGAAGAATCAAGGGAGGTCGTTAAAGATGGCAAGTGGCAGTGTGTTTTGGGAATAATCCGGGAGAAAGAGAAAGAGAAATTGAACGTGCGTGACATAGAATTACTGAAAAACTGAAGTCCTAAGAGAACACTGGGAGACAGTTTAGAACATACCTTAGAAGTATTCCAACTAGGGCGCCTGGGTGGCTCAGTTGGTT